CGTATCCGTTCCTACGGAACGCAAAGCAAAGGTTCGCTGACCCGGGGTGTATAGCTCAGTAGTAGAGCATTCTACTGCGGGTCGGGAGGCCCCTGGTTCAAATCCGGGTGCCCTTCTTTTCAGGGAAGTGAAGAGAAATAATTCTTTTGAGAATTTCGAAGGCGGCAATGATTTGTTTCGTTCTGTATATTTCTAGACAAAGCATTTTCGTATACGTTCCTACGGAACACAATGCAAAGGTTCGCTGACGCGGGTGTATAGCTCGGTCGTAGAGCATTCGGCTGCAGATCGAGAGGTCTCCGGTTCAAACACAGATATCCCTTTCTTCAGGAAAGTGAAGAGAAATATTTTTCTGAGAATTTCGAAGGCGGGAATGATTTGTCCCGTTCTGTATATTTCTAGACAAAGGATTTTCGCATCCGTGACGGGGTGCGCGCGCATTGAAAAAATTTACCCTCATCCTATTTCTCTAACGCCCCAAAAGAAGTATAACTTCAAAAATCACCGAAAATTAATTATAATAAAGTAATGTTTCACAGGGGAAAAAAATTTCTGTAGAAAATATTTTCACTTTTTAAATTTATCATTAGGAGCATTGTTCTTCTGTTCTTTGTGCATTAAATTAAAGTGTTGACAACCCTAGCTAATGGCAAAAACAGCCAGTTATTGAAATGTAAAATTAATAAAGTTGAAATTGTCAGACAATTTCTAGTTTCTTTTGTTTGGAAAAGTCTAAGTTTACCTAAGGATAATAAATAAATATTTTACTTATTCGTTTCATAGAAAAGAGTTTAAAATTTATTGATCAATTTTTTTTTTCCAAGAGCTCTTTTTATTGATTGAAATTTTCAATTTGTTGCTTTTCTTAGAAATAATTTATTGTTCTCAGTTTTATTTTCTGAATAAAAATTTGTATGCAGATCAAAGTTATCTGAAATGTAATCAAGTATTTCTTGACGTTTATAATTAACTTTAAAAATGTGAAAAACCTTACGGATTACAAATTAATCATGTAGACTTTCTAAGTGTATGCATTAAACAAGAGAGAGAGAGAGAAAATAGTGGGATATACTGTGTAGATTTAATCCTGTCATTCTCCCAAACCCACGTGGCCGCGGTAGCCGAGTGGTATAAGTATCGGATCGGGGCATTCCTTGTCACGAATTCGAGCCCTGTACCACTAAAGACCCGCCGTGTAGGGCAGCG